CCATCTGTAGAGGATGAGGCTTAATGCCCTTGGGCATGATCCAAGCAATCCCACGCACCTCTCCTCCTGGGGCTGTGCTGCATCAAGTATAAGGTAATGTGGAGTTCATCCTGGACATCCTCTCTGTGCCTGGCTGCAGTTCCTGGACTTCCTTCCTCCTGCCTCTCCTGCTTCCACCCTCACCCCTGTCCTTTGGAAGCCCTTCCCTGCAAGCCAGCTGCCCCCTTAACTCATCTTCCAGCTAGGCTGAGATCAGGGATCAGCAGCTGAGAGGATTCAAGTTCATGATTTTGGAGCTAATATCATCCTGTGCCCTCATGCCTCTGCCCTGCTGTTCTGGAAGAGGGCAGGAGAGTCTCACTCCAAACATCCTTAGATGACCAGGGACCAGTGGTGATTACTAAATGGGTTTCTGCTGGCTTTGGAGTCAATTCGAGGAGAGAAAAGGGTGTTGGGGGTACTGGGAGCTAAAATGGAGAAGGCAGTGAGCAAAGCAGGTTTAGGAGCTCTTTCCACTTGCTGAACACGTGGGGGGAGCTGTGGATGCTGTTTGGAGAAGCCTGGTAAGAAGAAGATGTGTAAGGAGGGATGGCCAAAAGTGCAGCCAAGCGGTGTCTGGCCCCAGGGCAGGGGGAGGTGGGTGAGTGCTCCTCTGTCCCCTTGGCTGCTAGCACAGTACCAGGCTCACAGCTGTGCCTTCCTGCCTCTAGGTGTTCCTCAGGAAGGATGTGGATGTGGAGGACAAGCAGCAGGAGCCTGGGAGTGTTCAGGCCAGTGTTTTCTGCTCTCCAGTGGACAGATGTTCTCCCTTGTATACGGTATGTGCCTCTGCCCTCGACATTAGGGGGGCATGACATGCAGCTTGGAGCTGAGCTCTGAGGCTGGTCACTGGTGGTGTGCCCAGGTGTGAATGGAGCCTTGCCTCTTCCAGTGAGTGTGGGAACAAGCTGGGCATGATGGGGCCAGGAATCAGCCCCCCAGGCAGCACCCAGGGGTTTTACTGCTTCCAAGGGAGCCAGATTATGGGCTCCTCCAGCCATGGCTGAGCCAAGAGACTAAAGGTCACGGAGTCATAGGAGGGCCTGAGAATCTGTGTTGCTATTAAAAAAAAAAAAAAAAGACAGAGGATTTCTGTAGTTCTTGTGGTTAAGTAGAACAGGCATTGGAAAGTGAGTCCCGTGCTGTCAGCAGGGCAGCACATGCCAGAGTGCTTAGAGAGCCTGAAACAGTTGCCCAAACCCCACTGCTCCACAGGCTCCTGGAAAATTGCTCCCTGGTGGGCTCGGGGGCAGCTAAGACCCTGTGGCAGAAGGGTGGGAAGTAAGTGCCCGGGTGATGGTGCTGTCCCCTGGGCAGTGTGCAGCTGGGCCCAGGGCTGAGTTTGGAGAAGGGCCAGCACTTTCATTGGCTGGCCTTTGCTGTCACCCCTGGCAGAGCTGGAACCCTGACAGAGGGTTTCATCAGCTTTGGCTGCCCACAAGGCCAAATCCCAAGGGAGATGCTGCACTCTCTGCCCCCTCCAACCACTCACCAGGAATGGGGGTCTTGGGTGCTTAGGAGTGGTGGGGCTTACCAGGAACCTGCCTCATGGTCCTCCATCCCATCCCCTGGCAGCATCCCCCTGCATGACACCAAAGAGACACAAATGCTCCTCGCAGGGATGCACTGCCTGAGGCTGGAGGGGCAGCAAGCACCGCATCCATCTCCAGTGTGGGTGCTGGGACCAGTCCAGGTGCTGGGTGCCATCCCAACAGCCTGGAATGACCTAGAGAGTGACCCACTTGAGGAACAGCCCAGCAACCCCCTGCTGGGGTTGCAAAAGCCACCAGTGTGGCCTTGGTAGAGGGAAGTGGTACCTCGGTGTGCTGGAGGAGAACCCCAAATATGTCAGGGAAGGAGTGGAGTTAAGAATAAGGCGTGCTGACCTACTTCATTTGGGTTTCGGAAATGCTGCTGGGAGGTGACAGGGAGGGCACCCTGGGGCAGCACACTGACACTCCCCACCCCACCTCTGCTCTCCCCAGCTGGCAGCATCCCCAGTGTCGTCACCCCAGAAAGAGAGCCCCAAGGGCAAGGAGTCTGCTGCAGCACCAAGATGCAGCGGGCGTAGCGGCATGGGAGCAGCCCCTCTCCTTGACCTGAGTCCTCTGATAGCCCAGTTCAACCGGGAGATGCTGCAGGTGAGGCAGCTGGGCCCTCTCCCAGGGTCTGTGTGGGAAGCGGAACGGAGGGCCACCGGCAGCCTTTCATGTCAGCTCTGGGGTGGGGTGGGGTGCGCAGCAGGGAGGGTTGATCTCCCAGCCCGAGCGAAGCCATGGTTGTGGCATGAGATCATGTTTGGCTGCCTCTCCCTGGCTGTCAGCCCCAGGGAGAGGGGGTCAGCCCACACCAGGGCCCTTCTTCCTCTCCGTGTGCGCATGCTCCTCCCATGCCCTGTTTTCCTCCTCCTCCTCTCAGACCCTGTCCCTCCCCAGCAGCGTGGGAACTGAGATGGTGGGAGGGCTGCTTCTATGCCATGGTGGGAAGAATGCAGGGATGTTTGCACTGGGGAGCAGGATGCAGCGAGGAGAGATGCTTTGTGCAGGGATGTTCTGTGCAGACTGGCCTGCTTGGGCAAACCCAGCTTCTCCTGCTGGGCTGAGGCAGACACTGGAAAGAAGTGAGGTGCTGCACACCTTCACACCCTCATTGCCACAGATGCTGTCCTCGGTGCCTGTGCTGGCCTGTTGATTCCCAGAGCTGAAAGGGTGCACTCCAGTCCCTGTCACAGCTGTGGGAATGTTTGGGTTTGGGCCCCCAAAGCCGTGTCCTTGAGGCTCTGGTGGAGGCCGCAGCCACGTGGCTGTTTGTGTGCTGCAGGCAGAGAGCTGGGTGCGAGGCAAGCTGCGGGACCTGAAGGACGGCTGTGAACTCCAGGACTGGGAGGAGGTGGCCCAGACCTTGCAGCGGGACATGAAGGATTTTGAGAACACACTGATAAAGCTCAATCAGGTGGGGCCAGGCGTGGCATGGCGTGGCATGGCTCCCCTTACTCACAGCACCTGTGTTATGGGTTCTCTGCAGCAGAGGGTCCCTGGGAATCCCTGACACTGAGTGGGTCCCTTGGCCCCACAGATGGGCGAGCAGCTGATGTGGAGGGCAGGCCCCAGTGCAGAGGCCGTGCGGAGGCAGCTGCTGGCCCTGCAGGAGCAGTGGCAGCTCCTGAAGCAGACGGCTGCCAGCCAGAGCAAAGCCTTGGGCGGGCTGCGGAGTCTGCAGGACTTTAACAGGAAAGCTGAGCGGCTGGAGGCATGGATCAAGCACAAGGTTTGAGGGATGGGAAGCGTGGTCTGGGGAAAGGGATAGCCTGGTTGTCCCCGCACCTTCTCACACCCTTGCCTGGCCCAGGAGGAGAAGCCCTCTCTGGCAGCCCTCCTGCAGGAATGCCCGGATAAGATCCAGCTCACTCGCCGCATCCTTGACTTGAAGCAGGTGAGAGGTGCTGGGGGGCTGCCAAGCTGTCAGGGACCCCAAACACCTCGAGGCTGGGGCATGGCACAGGTCCCTGAGGAGGGATGCTGAAGTCTTTCCTCTCTGCTTGGGCCAGGAGGAGCAGCAGTTCCAGAGTCTGCACAAGGAACTGAACAGCCTGGCCCAGAAGCTGGAGAAACAAGGCAAAAATGAGAGCAGAAACGTCTCAGCCCGGCGCAAGCACCTCAACAAAGCGTGAGTGGAGGACACACGGGCTGAACAGGGCAGAGTCAGGCACCAGGAGCTGACCAGCTGGGAAGCAGGACCCCCCCCAAACTTCCTGGCCTAGCTCTGCACAGCTCCCCAGACAGGCACAGGCTGCCATTCACCTTTCCCCTTCCACCTGCTCAGGTGGCTGCGGCTGCAGGGGACCCTGAAGGAGCACCACGAGGCTCTGCAGCTGGCCCTGGAGGTGGCCTCCTTCCTCCAGCAAGCAGATATCCTGCTCGGGGTCATCCATGCAAAGGTATCTGCCCTGGAGCCAGGTTCACCCTGGTGTGTGGGGCTGTTGCATGGCCTGAATGAAACTTGGTGGGCAGCACCTTGCTCTTGTCCCCTGCATGGAAGCTCCTGTGGTCCCAGCACTCTCAGCCTGGGCTTTGGGGAGAGAACCAGGGGATGGAGACAGGGAGCCAGGCTGGCAAGTGCAGCTTTGCACTGTTTCTTTCTGCTGGAGCTGGGAGCAGGGCCCTGTCCTCCTCCCACTGCTGACTGTGGCCTCTTCTTGCAGCAGAGCAGCATCTGCAGTACAGGGAAGCCAGGGGAGGGCGAGCCTTGCCAGGATCGGGATGTCAGGGACATAGCCAGCCAGGTGATGGTGAGTCCAAGACTCTGCCTTATTCCCTGAGCCCTGGGGAGCATCCTGACAGGGGGAATGTGAGCCTTCCCAGGCCACCTCTGCCACCAGCAGCGCTGTGGGCTCTGCAGGCACCCCTCTGTGGGTGGCTGAGGCTGTGTGATGGATGGGGGAGTCTCCCCACGGCAGACAAGGACTGGGATAGGCACTCAGTGCCTCTTCTGCCCCCAGAGGGCTGGCTGTCATCCCACACCCTGCCCATGGCCATGGTGGTTCATCAGTCTCGAGCCCTGTCTCCATCACTTCTCAGCTGCTCTCTCTTCTCCAGATGCTGGATGTGACTGTGTCCCAGCTCCTAAACTTGCAGCCCAGCCTGGCAGCCCGAGTCACCTCAAAGCACCGAGACGTAAAGGAGAGCTGGGCGCAGCTCCAGCAGGCACTGAGGTAGGGCTTAGCTGGGCAGGAGCCCCAGGGTCCCAACCCTGACCTCCCAGCTCTGGAGCCAGAGGCTTGGGAAAGACCTGGGTTAGCCCCTAGCAGGCTGTCTCTGGGGCACCAGCTCCACTCAAGGTCTCTCTTTATCCTTTGCTCCCCTGGGCTTCCCTTGCCTTCCTTTCCCAGGACAGGGAAGGCTCCAGCATGGGCAGGCAGCTCCCCAGGGGGCAGAGCTGCAGCTCCAAATGTTGAGCCTCGAGGAGACGACAGCAGTCACGGGGCTGTGGGTAAGGAAGCAGCAGCCAAATGGACAAGAGGACTCGGCAGCATGGTAAGCACTGGCTTCCTCCAGCCATCTTCAGCTCCTCTGCTCCGAGAAGACAAGGGAGCCTAGGGGAAAGGGGTTCAGGTGTTGGGCAGAATTCAACCTGAGCACTCCTGGATCTGGTCCCAGCAGTTATGGGAGGTGATAAGTGCCAGGCCCGGGGCAAAGCAGGCGTGTGCTTTGTGCTGGCCAAGGAGGAATGGGAACCTTTGTGCTGCAGGTACCAAAAGATGTGCTGGAGAAGATGGCAGAGAACAAGAAAGGAGAGGAGAGCAACCCTGGCTCTCCAGCAGTGGGACAGCCCCCTCACCAAGGGGACAACAAAAGGTACCAGCTTGTGGAGGTGGCTATGGGATCAGGACAGAGTCAAAGGGAACAGGGATGGGGTTCCCCTGTGCAAGGGGGAGCCTCGCAGTCCTGACTGTCCCTCTCCTCTCTCTGCTGTAGGAGGAAAGAGGCAGAGGCTGAGTGGGGGATGCGGCAGCTGGAGACCCAAGTGCAGGATGTCTGCCAGGTGGTGAACACAGTAATGTGTCCTCAAGAGTCCCCTTTGCTCCCTGCCCATCCAAGAGGAGACAGTGCTGGGGAAGGACTCACTTCCCTAACCTCCTCCTGCTGCTCGTGGGCATGTGGGCTTGTGCCCACATGCCTGGTCTGGGCACTAACCAGCATGTCTCCTGCTCCTCAGCAGACTCTGTCCCCATACAAGGAGAGTGTGGCTATGGGAGTCCCCCCATGTCCAGTGGAGGCAGCACGGATGCAGCAAGAGCCCAGTGCCAGGGCTGTGCTCCTGGTGAGCCTACTTGGATGTGAGGTGGGGGGAAGACACCAGGTGGGGCCCATCCTGATTGCCCTCCCTCCCTCCCAGGAGGGGTCAGCACGAGGGAAGCCTCCCGGGAGCCCTCAGGTGGAGGCCATGCTGCGTGAACTGGGCGAGTTGTGGGAGGACCTGCAGAGGAGGCACCAGGAGAATGGTGTGGTGCTGCAAGAAATCGATAAGGTACGTGGAGTCAGGGCTATTGGGGGCACAGGGCGTGCTCCAATTGGAGTAGCTTGCTGGGCATCACCAACTGAGGCTGGCACCTCTGGGGCCTGGAGATGCAGCACTGGCACCAATGTCTCTGGCTGGCCTTGCAGAGGGCACACTTCTCCCACTGTGCTGCCCGTGCCCCAGGTACCCCCAGTGGGATGCCAGCATGGCTCCTGCCTCCTCTGGGGGACCCGGAGCCAGACTGATGGGTTCCCTGCTCTCCCTGAAGGCCCTGAGGCTGGTGGGGGAGCTGGACCAGGCTGAGCGGTGGCTGCAAGATGTCGCTGGGTCGCTCTTGGAGCCAGCTGCCATGAGAAGCCCGGCGGAGCTGCGCCAGGACCTGGAAGAAATGAGCCGGCTGGAGAAGCAGCTCCTGCTCTGTGGCCTCAAGCTGCAGGCACTGCGGGAAGAAGCAGCAGGCGAGGCATCCACTGAGCACGAGGGAGCAAGGAAGATGCAGAGGAAAGTGGAGATGGTGGAGGAGAAGTGAGTCCTGGAGGAAGGTGCCTCTTCTCTGGTGCCCAGGTTGGGTGGGGAGGAGGATGCTGTCCCTGAGGAGGTGCAGAAGCTGCCAGCACCTCTGATGAGCACCTCTCCCTGCAGGTTGGCACACGTGCAGGCAGCACTGCGGCACCGGGCAGCAGATCTGCGGGACTCCCTGGTGCTGTCTGAGTTCCTGCAGGACCTGCAAGAGGAGGAGGCACGGAGCCAGCAGGGATCTGCAGCGGTGAGTAGCGCGGGCAAGCATCCCTTGGGATCACAAGCATCCCTGGGACTGGACCAAGGGTTGATCTGCAGTTGGCATGGGGGCCCTGTTGGGTGCTCCCCTCCAGCCCAGCTGCCTGGGGTGTCACTCCCCATCTCTTATGTCTGGTATTTCTGCTGGCTTCAGCCAGGGAGCGGGCGTTGCGGCTCGCAGGGGTGTTTTCCCCCGCTCTCAGCCCAGGCTGAGAAGTCTCCAATCAGTGAGGACATGAGTCGGCCCTTGGGAGAGCTGCAGGAGGCTGTGGAGATGCTGAATGATGCGGCGAAGGAGCGGGAGCGGGTCATGGAGGTGGCAGCAGAGACGGAGAGCCTGGAGCGTCTGGTAGGGAACAGAGGCTGGGACCTGGGGATGCATCCGGGAGGTTCATCTGCAGCCAGACATGCCGGCCGATTGGGACAGGGCACCCACTTCAGCTGTCCTCAGTGGGACTCGGGGACATTGGGATTCATGGGAACCGCTCTGTGCAAGGCTGGCATCCTTGTCTCTCACATGGCTGGCACCTGCCCTTGTGCAGCTGCATGGCAGGGTGTCCCCAGGCTGGCGTGGGCTGGGGCTGTGTGGCAGGTGGTAGCACAGGGGCTTCCACCCCGAGGCTGATCTCCCTCTGTGTCTTCTCCTGCCCATCCAGGTGGCAAAGATATCCCCACAGCTGGAGGCCCTTCAGTGCAGAGCCAAGGCGCTGTCTGAAGACATTGCCCTAGCAGAGAAGAGCTTCACCACAGTGAAGAGTGAGAAGGACCTGCAAGGGCTGCAGGGCTTGCTAAGCTGCCAGCAGGAGATGGAGGTGAGTCAGGGGAGCACTGCCTGGGAGGTGTCCCGGCTGGCTGGGGCTGTCCCAGTGAGGCACTGCCCCCCCTCTGGGGGCCCAGGTGTTGTAAGCCTTGGCACACTGTGGCAGGGCGGGCTGGAATTTTCCAGTGGAGCTGAGACCTGCCTGCTCTGCTCCCCTCTGATAGCATGGGCCAGGCAAGGGGACAGAGCTTGCATCAGCTCCCATGTGCCAACACCCAGCTGCCAGCACCTCACTCGTCTTCCCTCTGGTGGGGAAGCGACTCGTGCACACAGGGCAGGGAAGCCAGGGGAAGCCAGGCAGCTCTGTGCTCTTGCTGTGCTCCCTACTGAGGCTAGCTCTGCCCATGTAGCAGCATCCTCTCCTCTGTCCCTGCATCCCAGAATGCAGGGGAGTGCAGCCTGGGTTCAGAGGGGTTGGATGCATCCCAAACCTTTCCTGCCTTGTGATGTTTAGCATGCAGTGTCCCAGACCCTGCAAGGGCAGCTGGAGGAGCTGGAGAGGGTGGCTGCCCGCTTGCAGGAGCTGTGTCCTGCTCGGCAGTGCCCCGTCAGCCAGGAGCTGCAGGAGACGCTGTGGGCCTGGGCAGGGCTGCGAGAGCTGCTGCGGGAGACCCGGCTCCGCGTGCAGCAGGCCAGCCAGCTCCGGCACTTCTTCAAGGATTACTTAGCCATGATGTAAGTGGCAGTGAGCTGTTGGGATTGCTTCTGTGGGGGTTGAGGGGGAGCTGGTGAGAGCATGGCATTGGCAACTATGTGGGCAGTGCTGGAGCTGCAGCCAGGCGTGACCATGGGGAGCCTGGAATGCAGGGTTGCACCACAGCTGTCTGTTGTGAGGCAGCCCTGCAGCATCTCATCCTGCCCCAACAGCCTTGCCACAACCCCAGGGAGCTGCTTCCAGCTATCACTGAGCATGGGAATGGCTTCCCTGGGGCCTGCAGGGCTGGAGAAGGGTTGGGTCATTCCTCAGCCTGTCTTTCACGTGCTCACAGCTCCTGGACTGAGGACACCCGGGCTCAGATCTTCTCTGAAAGCCCAAGCAGTTCCAGTATCCCGGAGACTCCATGTGAGGAGCTGGAGAGGAGAATCGAAGAGAAACTCAAGGAGTTTGAGGCACTAGCAGCAGCAGGGCAGCAGCTGGTGTCTGAGGAGCACTACCTGAGTGCAACAGTAAGGACAGGGGAAATAGGGTTGGGGGAAAATTCTCAGCACTTCCTGAAGTCCTCTGGGCACAGACCATGAAAGAAAGAGCAAGGTGTGGGTGCAGAACCCCAGTAAGTGGGATGGGGACAGCTATGCATCCCTGGGGCTGCTCAGGACAGGAAGAAGTTTCATCCAGTGGATCCTGAGATCTGATTTGATGTGGCTGTGACTGTATCCCACTCGCAAAAACCTCCTAGCTGCTCTGCTGTGAGATACCCTGGTAGGGCCAGTGTCCCTGGGCCAGGAGTCCTTGCAGGCTGCCCAGCATCTCTCCTCCCATCAGATAAAGGAGCGCTTGGAAGAGCTGCAGAGCATGCTGGGCTGGGTGCTGGTGCGCTGGCGAGCACAGAGGCATCAGCAGCAGGATCTGGGGAGCAGACAGGAGGACAGGAGAGAGCCGGAGAATCTCTCAAGGACATCCCCCACTGGTCAAGTGAGTACCCAGCCATGCTGAGACTGCCAGGGAGAATGACCAGCCTTGAGGCTGAGGGTAGCAGAGGCACTGGATGGAGTGAGTGGTGCAGAAGGTGGGGAGGAATGCATGCCAATACCCCTGGAAGTCTCTGGGGTTCAGGCATGGCAAAGGGAAGGCTGTCCTGAGAAAATGCCTGGTACTCCAGCAGCCCTTCCTTCATGTTCCTTCTCTTGCCTTGCTCCCCAGAAGCAGCATGCCTCACGTGTTTCACCCCACCTGGAAAGCATCCACAGCCCAGTGAAGTTCATGCCCTCCTCCCTCCTCGAGCCTGTGCAAAGATTAGAGCCAAAGCTTCCAGAGAAAACAGCCATCTCCCCACCCACATCACCCCTCTTAGATGCCCTGTCAGGAGTGGAGCAGAGCTGGGGTGAGCCCAGCAGCAAAACAGCCCATGATGCGGAATCCCCCAAGGAGGCTGGCACCTGGGATCCTGCTGAGACCTCCACGCTGCTGCTGCCGCCACGGGGCCCCTGTGGTCTCGGGGGCACAGTCAACCTCATCCTCAGCATTGGCAAGAAGGGCGAGAAGAAGAAGGCCCAGCTGCTGGCCAGCAGTGAGCGGCCAGGCGAGGAGGCACTGCCAGCGGTACGGGGGGATGGTGGGAGGCTTTGGGAGAACCATGGGCGAGCAGCCACACAGCCAGGGCAGCTCTCTGGAGCTGTGCTCCATGCAGACTGGGAAGGCAGTGGGGTGATCCCCAAGCTGAGACCCCTCTGACCTTTTCTAAGTGAGCTGCTGGGACTGTGTTGGTCTCAGGAGAGGGGCCTTTGGCCATGCTGATGCTGCGTGATGCCTTAGGGCTGAGGCTGGCTTGCGCCACCCACTTTGCCTGTGCTCTCCTGCTGCAGCTCCTTGCCCACTCTGTCCTCTCTGTGTGTCTCTTTCTCTCCCCTTGCTCAGCTCCCCGCCACTAAACACTCAGGCTGTAAAACCTTTTGGAAGCGTTGCCAGGGGCTTTTAGGAAACACTTGGGGTAGCTTAAAGCGAAAAAGAAAGCCACCACGCCAGCTGGTGGAAGAGGTAACGTCCCGGGGAAAGCTGCATGCTGGGCAGAGTGGCTGCATGGCGTGAACCTGCCTGCCACCAACCCTCCTGGCCAGGCCATGGTGCCCAGGTGCCAGTGGTCTGCTGGGAGAGGGAAAACCCTTCTGGTGCTGTGGGGTCCAGAGTGTGGGTGCTGGGACGTGTGAGGAGGGGACTCAGGCAGGGCTTGCTGCAGTTTGGCCCCCCATTCAAGTAGTTTTGGTGGCCATGGGAGGTATGGCTAGCTGGTGGCCAGTGGGAGAGCCTCCCTGCTCCATTACTGGGGGGGCAGCAGCAGTTCTTGTGTAGCCAGCTGAAGGGGACAAGGATGGCTGGGGCTGTGTGAGGTGCACATTTTGGTGGGATGGGGATCTCACTCCAGGTTGCTTGGCTTGTAACTCTGAGGCTGGAAGTTGGAAATTTGTAGGGGATCACATCTGCTTGTTGCTCCAGAGCCTGTGCAAAAAGGTCTGTGTGTGAGGAGCCCCAAGGGCAGCCTGGCCCAGTAGCCCAGGGGAGAGGGGAGAAGGACAGAGAGGCTGGAGGGCATTAAGGCAGGGGGGGGCTGCTGGGCTGCCAGGAGAGTTTTGGTAATGGGCACCATCCAGCCTAAGGGATCCAGGGGGACACTGCTCCAGCTCCTGCAGACTCTTGCAGCTGTGGAAGCTCGGGAGAAGGTCTGCAAGGAACGGGAGGGGTCTGCACTCAGTCCCTGCCCTTGCATTCGTTGCTTTATTGCCTGGAGCATACAGGGCTGGCAGGCATGGACTGCAGTGACTGCTGTCTCAGTAGCCACTCAAAAGTGATGGCTTGGAGGTCAGCAGTGCCAGGGAAAAGCTGTATGGCAGTCAGCCCCAGCTGTACCACACCTGGGGAACTCCATCATGGGCAGATTCCCTTGTCTGCCTCTACCCTGCCTGCACCCGTGTGGGAGCAGCCCTCAGGGGACTGAGGTGACGTTCTGTCATTCCCAGCACTGCATGTGCTGCTGGTGAGCATTTTTGTCTGCCTGCCCTTGCAGCCCCCTGCTTTCCCAGACGCAGCATGGAAAGGGGGCAGTTGGCACAGGGTGGTGGAAGCTCCAGCGACGGGGATCACGCCTGTCTCCTTCTGTTTCCTCAGGTGCAGGCGGAGGCCAGGAAAACCTGCACGGCAAAGCGGCCTCCCACCGTTGTGCGGCGCCCTGCAGCGCCCAGCGGTGGCATGGCGGCCGTGTCCCACACCCTGCCCAAGGCCGGCGCTGGCTGCCTCTTCAACAGCCTGCAGCGGCGGGAGCAGGCCCGGGCAGAGCAGGCCCGGCTCCTGACCCTGCGGGGCATCATGGGCGACAGCTCCCTGCGGCCCACGCCCGAGGAATGCCACGGCCCCAGCAACACGTGGCCTCAGAAATGTGGCTGGAGGAAGGGGGGGCCGGGGGCAGCTGCCGCTGGACCTCAGCCCGGGGAGCTGCTCCTCTACGTCAGGAACCCGCTGGTGCAGGACATCGATGCCGAGTGCGGGGCAGCCCCTCAGAAACCCTGCCTTCCTCACCCCAAAATCACATGCCCCCGTGTTTCCCTGGGCTCTGTGCTCAGCCTGGAGCTGCCACGGGATGCAGTGGTTCTGGGCTGCCGCCGAGGGACTGAGGCACGGCAGCAGGAAGCAGAGGGACAGGAGCAGAGGCAGGATCAAGGGGTGAGGCCGTGGAAGCCCACAGGCACACATGGAGTTGGATGGCAGGAAGATAGGCACAGTCCCCAGGGGCCCAGCAAGAGGCTGGGGATGTCCCCCAAGGGCGAGCAAGAAAGGTGGTTCGAGGAGGTGAGCTTGAAGCCCAGCTACAGCCAGCAGAGAGCACACCGTGCTGGGAAGGAGCACTGGAGCCCACAGCACCCCAGCAGCACCAGTAAAGACCTTCTGGATTTGAGGCCGAGTCAGCCGTCCCGTGTTGGCATGGGGGATGAGCTGGGAACCCGCTTTGTCCAGGACGACAGCCCCACTGCCTCTGGCAGGGCCAGGCACCACAGAGCTGCTTGGCTGGAGCTTGGATCATCCCCTGCCAGCACCCCAGGCAGGGCTGGAGCCATCCCCAGCCCTCCCTGCACACAGCAGCCAGCCAGCAGCGGCCAGCCGAGAGGGTCCCCAGCTTCCCCTGCTGCCCCCACCCAGCTCTCAGTCTTAGAGTGGGCACTGGGCTCTCCACAACCCCAGAGCCCTGCACTGGGCACTAAGGAAGTGTGCCACCCTGCCCACAGGCAGTTTGAGGAAGAGGAGGAGGAGCTGCAGGCCATCTGGGATGGGGCACACGAGCGACAGAGCTCACCAGGAGGCAGCTGTGCCAGCCACAGGACGGGCAGCAGGGCAGGCAGCTTGGCCAGCCCCAGCGCCACTGCTGGCGGGCCCCTCATCCTCTCATCAGCCAACAATGTGCTAGTGGCCAAATTCACCCTTCCCACTGCTGCCCAGCTGCTCCACAGCCCCTCGGGAGAGCAGAGCCCCAGGGTGGTGCACAGTGGCAGTGGCAGTCCCAGTGGGCTCAGGGTTTCCCCCCACGTGGAGGAGCTGGTGCCTGCAGCCCCCTTGGATGCCTCCAGTGCCTGGGATCAGCGGAGGCATCGGCAAGAGGAGAGAGAGAGCAGCAAGGTGAGATCCACAGGCCAGGGATTCTCCTTCAGGGTCAGGTAGGGGCTGGGGAGCAGCCAAGGCAGCAGCTGGGTTATCCACTCCAGCAAACATAACCTGTATCTGGGGACTCCCTGACTCCACTGGCCCCTTTTCTTCAGCTGCTGGGGATGGGCTAGGTGTGGTATTTGGGGTTCCTGCAGCACATACACCTTCCACCAATCCATAGCCTCAGCAAGGTGGCACTTCACCCATAAAGCTGAGACACAGCCCAGCCCCTGCCCAGGTGAGAAAGTTGTTCCTCATTGTCATTCCACTGCCACTTTGGCATCGCTCACCAGGGATGGGTCATATAGACCTCATATGCATGGAGGCTGAGCTGGCACCACCAGCCCCAGAGAAGTTTTTGCTCACCCTCTGTGCCATTGCAGGTCCTGCCTGGTAAAATGGAGTTTCAGATGATGGAGGGGACGCTGGAAAGGAAGCACGTATTGCAGACAGGAGGGAGAAAGGTACAGACATGGCTGTGGGGCTCTTTGGGACAGGGGTGCTGGACATGTCAGGGGGTGGAGAGAAGGCAAGGATGTTCCTGGAACTACCACAGCAATGCTGCTGGCCATTCTGGAAGGGCACAGCCTCAGAGGCCCTGGGCCGCATTCTGAGTGCCGTGAGACCATCTGTCTTCTTCCAAAGCTGTTGGCACCACAGCTGTCCCCTGCTTGCGTCCCACAGGCCAGCTGCCGGGCCTGGGGCCTCTTCCACGCCGTGCTGATGAGGCAGACACTGTGCTTCTACCAGGACCGCAGGGACAGCCTCAAGGTGCCCTGGGGACATTGGGGTGACAAGGGAGGGGGCTGGTGGCAGGGTGATGGCTCTGGGCCCCGTGGCCAGGGAAGGCAGAGCCATCCAATCCTGCTGTTGTCCTTGCTTTCCCTTGTGCTGCAGAGCTCCGTGGTGGCCCTTCCCCTGAACCTCTCCGGGGCAGTCTGCACCCCAGATGCTGAGTACACCAAGAAGACCAACTGCTTCAGGCTTCAGTGAGTGCCCCATCCAGGGCAGTAACCACAGCCCTTCCAAGAGTGTCCCTGCTGGAGCAGACCCACACCAACATCCCCAGGCAGGACCAGCTCAGTGCTTAGATGAGGATTTCCTTCCTTCTTTCTCACCTGCTTCTCTTCTTTAGTGGTCTGGTGGGGGCTGTTGTATCTGTACCCTACATTGTTCTTCCCCTCTCCCTGCAGGCTGCAGGATGGCTCTGAATACCTCCTGAGGGCCCCCACCCAGCCCCTTATGAACGAATGGGTCTCAAAGCTGCAGCAAAACTCAGGTGAGCAGCCCTGGCAGGCAGAGCAGGGGCCCGGCTCTATGTGGTTACCATGTTTGTTCAGCCCCCACTGAGCCTTTTGATACATGGGGGGTCAGAAGAGAAGCAGCACAACATTTTACTCTGATTTATGCATCCTCCTAGCCTGCCTTGGGAACAGCAGTTCTCTGCCAGGCAGGATTTGGAGGCTTTGTTTTCACACCACATACACAGCTATAAATCAGGAATAGCACAACTGACGTCAGTGGTGCCTCAGCAGCAAAAAGCCCGTGTCAGGAAAATTATAATTGTGCCTTGGTCTTCCTCCATATCCGCTGGGCTTGGAAATGCCTTGCTTGCCCTTGAGGCAAGGAGACCTGTAATACTGAGATCTTCCTGTTGCTGTCCCCATACCTGAGGAGTTCAAGCCCTGCTATGAAATCCTAGGTTGGTCGTCAAGACCAAGAGCAGGTGCTACAGCAGGAGGTTGGAGGAGCCTGCCATGCAGCATGGGCAGTCGGATCAGGGACTGGCTCTGTGTGGCAGTCCTGTGCACTGCCAGCATCCAGAGGATGTTTGCTGTGCCCCCAGGTTTCCCCAAAGTGGATTACTTCCAGGCAGCAGCACAGCATGTCGAGGGCACTGGTGGTACTGGCAGGTGAGTAGCCAGGAGATGGCCAGCTGGCTCTTGGTATAACTCTGTCCCACATCTCCCAGAGCATGCTGCTCCAGCAGGACGTTGGTGGGCTAGTCTGGTTTGCTAAATCTCTGCTGCTTTCAGTTTCAGCAAGTTCTCCAGCCCTGGGGCCTCCCACCTCCAGGGACATCACCAGGTCACCAGCACCAAGAGCCAGGAGATGGTGGTGTTACCCTGTGCAAGCCCACTACTGCAGCGGTCTCTGGGCAGCCAGGATGGCCCAGTCGATGGGACTGTGACAGCAGCAGGTGACTTTCCTTTCTGGCTGGGTTGCTACTGTCCCGCAGGTTCTCTCCCCAGCCCAGAGACAGCTGAGGGAGGCTGAAGGCTGTTGGTCAGTCTTGAACTTGGTGGTATCTGGGCTGGGAGTCCCAGGGCTTGGGACGTGGGGCAAGGAACATTTACTTAACTTCCTGGGATACTAAGATAGTCATACATTTCCCTCTTCTCTCTGGGGCTGACACAGGGGTGTCCTGTGATGGCCTTGCCTTGTGACATGTCTCCATTCTGCTTCAGAGAATGCTCAGGGGGCTGGGCACAAGGAGCAGCAGTGGCCATCCAGGGCATCCCCCGGGCTGTGGGACAACATCTGCCCAGAGGATGACTATGGGCTGGTGGCCAACAAGAGGAGGTCCTACTCCTTCACCTCAGGTACAGTCCTGATTTCTCTGTCACAGCCAGGAGGTGGCACCACTGCCTCTGTCCCCAGACAGCCAAGGACAGATGCGATGCTGCTCCAGCACACACCTGGTCCTACATACCTGTGCCCTTGGCTGCAGCCCCCATTTGGGGAGGGCTCTAGGGGGCTGCCAGGGCCTGCTGGCACTCTGCTCCTCGCACTGACTGCTCCTTCTTGCAGCCACGTACCAGAAGCTGAGCCCGCGGGCGGTGCCCCAGGAGGCGGCGGGGGCCGGGAGCAGTTACTCGGTCACGCTGTACATAGGGGAGCAGGCTGTGCCCCGGGCACGCTGCCACTCCTTCGTGGCCCCAACAGGGAGCCCCCGCGACGCGCGGGGGGAGAAGACCACCAGCCCCCCTCGCACCAAGAACAAATCTGTCTTCAAGAAGTTCTTTGGGAAGAAAGAGTGAGCCCCAGACAAAGGGAGAAAATGCCCTAACCTGCCTCTTATCCTCCTCTTGGGCCGCTCTGGCGTGGTCTCTACTCCCAGCAGCAGTTCATGGCTCACTGCCTCCCCAGGGGCAAGGGGCTCTGCTTCAGCCAGCCCTGAGGCTGCCCTGTGCCCCAGCCACTGCAGCCCCCAGCCTCAGCCTGGTGCTGAGCACCTCTCCTGCCCAGTGCTCTCCCTGGGTGCTGCTGGCTCCCCAGGCATCCTAATGACTCACAGCACAAGCAGAGGGGGGTGGATGATGGTTTTTATTAAAAGATAAATGGACACTTAGTGTGGAGCTTTTTTGTCCAGCAGCATCCATCAGCACAGGAGGAAAGGAGCTCTCTGCAAGGTGGTCCTTGCTAAGGAGTCAGGGAGCTTCAGAGGAGGAGGGCCCTGCAATGAGGTTCAGTCCTGCTTGAGGGGGAAGCCTGAGCTGTTTGGTGCCTTTCACAAGGATGCTTTGTCCCATGCTTCCTCTGTGCCTGCACTCAGCCCAGCTAATCCCTCAGGCTATCTGGGCCCCTTTTCCCTGCCCTGGGAGCTTAGCAGGAAAGTCACTACCTACAGAGTAAATACTCCTGCCTGCACAGTCGTGCCAAGCCTGCCCAGCCTTGCTCTCTCTCAGGATGGCTGCCAGCCTAGGTCACAGCAGGTGAACACTGCCTGACACAGGGGCAGGGATGTGTGGATAGACCCCCATTCCTACAGCCCAGATATTTTTGCAGTAACTTCACCAGACCATGCCTGTTTCAACTGCCCCAATTGCCACCTGTACTGGAAAGGAGAAAAAGCAGCTAGTCCAACCTGCCCTGAGCCTGTACAAGCCCTAAGGGAGAAGGGGAAGTTTCCAGGGATGTAGGTAGCAGGGCCTCTCCCTGTCAGGCCGTGAGGCTCAGCTGTGCACACCACTCGCCTCCTCAAACACATTGTGGGGCTTAAAATAGAAGTGCTGGCTGCAGCCCAGCTCTGCAGCAAGGGCTGGGAGAGCAGAAATGCTCCTGCCACCCCATCTCCCTCCTGCAGTGCTCCTGGGGCTGGAGACAGGCAGTGAGGTGGAGGTGGGCACACCAGGGTCACCAGCCTGGACTTCCTCCAGATTCCCAGCAAGGGGTGGGGAATGCCCTGGTGTGGGCAGGGGTGTGCTTTCTGAGCTTCCCCTGTGTCTTACCACCCCCCTCCTTGGCTCCATCACTCTTGGCTCTGACACCTGTTTTCCTCCAGCACCAAAGCTCAGCTGCCTGCACTTCCTTAATGGGAAAAGACAAGCAGGATAGTAAGGCTGGGAGGGGAGATGCCCTGGGCAGGGGCCAGGCTTGTCCAGACCAGTGAGGAGGTCAAAGCACAGCATTCCGTCTCCGGCTGCACATACCAGGAGAGCAGCTGGTGGGCTGGTGCCAGTTCATTCCTGAGCAGCTGCGGGGCCCGGCACAGGGGCAGTGGGTGCAGGGTGCTTCACTGAGGGCCCCCCTGCTGGCCCCAGGCTCAATGCTGACCCATGGGAGCTCAGCAAGGGTCCCACCATGGCCCAAGTCCAGCACAGGAGCACAGGGTGACATGTGCCACTCAAGAGATAACACCATCCCAGGGACGATGCTGGCACCTGCAGCACCATTTTCAGTATCCCCTCCGTATGGGCTTCATTGTCCCCCCGAGGCTGCTGCTGACCCAGAGCCTCCCCACTCTCCTCCCCAAGCTGGCGCTTGGCCCCACAGCAACCCGCTGACGAATCCTGCCTGGAGTTCCTATGGCAGAAGCCAATTCCTCCCACCCCCCCCACTAATCTGCCCGTGCATGCAGCCTCCACCTGCTGAGCCAGCGGAAGCCGTGCTCAGCCAGCCCCAGCCAGCGCCAGGGCTCTAAAACCCACTCTGGCTGCAGAGCCTGTAGGGTGGCAAAGCCTCTGCACCCTGGTCCTGCTGCCGTGGGAAATCCCAGCCCTGCTTGGCACCAGGCAGTGAGGAGTCTGCAGGCAGCATCACCTGGCACCAGGAAAGCTGAGCTATCAAGGTAAGGGCAGGGTGCAGGCAGGGAGGTGACCAGAGTAAGCACTGTCCCTGCTGTGCCTTGCTCTGCCAGGCACCAAGGAGAGAGGGTCTGGTTCCAGCCTCCTCTGCTGAGCCAAGGTCTTGTCCCCCGTTTCGGCGGCTCGGCAGTCCTGCTCAAGGTCACCCTGCAGCCGGGAGCCTGTGCTGAGCTCTGCGGCTGTCACACACTGAGGGACCCCAAGCCGGGTCCGGAGCTTTCTAGTCGCAGAGCTGCAAAGAGGGCTCGGAGCCTGACCCCGGCGCAGGCGGGACTGAAAGCGGGGAGCAGCAGTGGAGGGGCTGCCTGCCGGCACCCTGCCCTCCTTGCCTAGGCAAAAGGACAGCACGGCTATGCCCCCCTCCCAGGGCAGCAGGGCCAGCCGTCTGTTCAGGAAGAGGGGAGACACTGGCCAAAAGCCAGAGCACCGGACATTCCTGTGCCGGAGCTGCGGTAGCGGGGCCACCCCAGCAGCCTCCTGCTCTCAGGTGCGGCCGATGCAGCTGGGGGGGTCAAAGCGGGGTGCGAGGGGTGGGGGCACGGGGCTGCAGTCCGGCGGCCGCGGAGCCGAGGGCAGTCCCGGCCCGCCCGCGCGGTGCCCTTGGCGGGCGGGGAGCGCTAGGACCCGGCCTGCCGCGGCCGGCAGCGCTGGCACCGGCGCTGCGGGACCGGACCGTGCCCTGCAGGCGGCGGCGCCGCGGGAAGGAGCCGGCTGCCCCCGGGGAAACGTGTAAGCGACGCGGCGGTGCCCCGGCTGCCTCGAGTGCGGGTGGGTGCTGGGGCGGAGCGGGGCCCCGGCAGCGGCGGCGGCGGCGCTCGGGGCAGCCCTGGGACCGTGCTGCGGCCGTGCGGAGCGGCCGGCTGTCCGACTGTCCGGCTGTCCGACTGTCCGACCGGGGCTCCGAGCCCGGCGAGCTCGGCCCCGCTCCTGCCGGGGCTGGGTGCTGCTGCCTTCCCTTCCCCTCCCTCTACAGGACCGCCGCGGGGCCGGGGAGCCTGTCCCGGGAACGCTGTACCACGGGGCAAAAACGCTTCCCCTTTCGCCATCCCCCGAAACAGCCAGCTGGGGACGGTGTTTGGTTACCCTGCCTACGGGGATGTCACCCGACCGCTGGCACGGCCAACACTTACTGGCCCCGTCACCGTCCTGTGTCAGTCCCAGCTTTCTCCGAGTGCTGGCTCCCTCCCTGCCCCGTCAGTCACATGTTCCTGAATGGCCTCGGGGGTGCCTGCACCACAGGGAACACCTCTAGGGAGCCCTCCCCGTTCTTGGGGTTCCTGGGGCTGTGCCACCGCTCACCTCCCTGCCAGAACAACTTCTACAACCCCATTGGCCTCTTGCAGGCCCTTTGTCCCAGTAGCTGGGCACTGTCCCATGACCCTTTCTATTTGTAGGCTGACCGCTGGGAGCTTGCCCTGCCCCCTTGCACCATTCCCCTTGCAGGTCCTCTCTCCCCAGGCACCATTCCCTGGCTGCCCTCGGTGTGATTTGGCCCAGGGCAGAGGTCCTGGCTGCATTCTGAGTCCAAGGCATGGCCCAAGGCTTATTTGGAGGAGCCTGACCTCGCATTCAGGCAGAAGAGAGGTGAAGGTACAGACAGAGCAGGGTTTGTAGCATGGCCCTTGACCCAAATCAGTCCAAATCACCGGTGCCTCTCAAGGTCAGGGCACTGCTCTGCTGCCCCTGTAAAGGTCTTAGAGCAAGAGGTTAGAAAACAGGGTCCCCACTGCTGCTTTTTGTCCTTATCCCTTCAGTGTCCTGGTGCTGCCCTGGGAAGGGAGGAGCAGGTGCTGTAGGGGCTGAAATGGATCAGAAAATGTAGGGAGTGAGGGAAGCTGGCATAGCTGGGTGGTAAGAGATAGTGAAATTTATTAATGGTCCTCAGGCTTGTGCAGGGAAGGTGATGGAGGATGTGGTGGAGGAGCACCAGCTGTGCTGCCCTGTTTTCTGCACAGACATATAAGAAGTCCTGGTATTCCCTGCCAGGAAATGCCCAGAGCATCCCTGAAGGAAAGCTGGATGTCTCTGGGACCAGCAGGATGGGAGAGACCCAGCAGCAGTGGCAGAGAAGCCTGTCCTCCATCCGAGCAGGCAGCCCTGCCCTGAGCTATTACCAGCAACAAGACTCTGCAGGGCTCTCCAGAAAGCTAGGTGTTTGTGGAGCTATTTTCCTTCTTGAGAAGCCTGCTTTTTTGCAGGAAACCCAGCACCTCTGTGACTGCAGATGCAAAGCAGGGCCAGCAGCAGCACCGCTGGGAACTGCATAACAGCTCAGCTCTGCTGTGAAGCTTCCCAACTTTACCATCCCAGGACACAGCGCTAGCAAAAGTCAGAAGAGACTTTCCCACCTGCTTGCATCCTCTGGAGATGGCAGATCCTGTGTGGAGAGTGGAGAAAAACAGGGGGTTGGTGATGTCTGCAGCTCCTCCCCAGAAGAGGGATCTTTGTGGGAAGCCAGCCACCACTATTGTCCGGGCTGACTTTTGTCATCTGGCTTACCAGAAAAGAGATTTACTGGGTCTGGGGAGCGGTGTTGGAACAGCAGGCTGTTTCCCTGGAGACTGAGTCCCTATCAGCTGAGGATGGATGTACAGAATAAAGCCAGAGGCCCTGAGACCCTGGGAGGGTAGTGCCAGGAGCCCCTCTTGTCCCTGAGACACTGGGTCCTTGGCACAAGGCTGCTCCTGGATGTCTCACAGCCCAGGAACGAGGAGAGAAGCAGGCAAGCTGCCTTTTGAGAAGTAACCTATGCTGAGGAGGTGCATTTCAAGCCTTTTCCCATCCCATCCCTGCAGAACTTGGGGTTCTCAGCAGGGGACCAGCCAGAACTCCTTCCTCTGAGGCCTGCAGCTGAGCAGCAAGCACAGCCCTGCAGGACAGCTACCGTGCTCAGGGTGACTGTCACAGTCTTATGTCCTCATGTGATCCATCCTGGTCCTGAAATCTGCTTCCCAACACTATCCCTGCCCTTCTGCACAGTCTGTTACCTATAGGCAAACTGTGCTTCTTTAAACCACCTTCAAACAAAAAGCTCCTGCTTCTGCCCTCAGACTTGTCTGCTTACTCCCAGATTTCCCAGCTCCCACTCATCCCCAGTCCCTCCATGGGTTAGCACAGCACACACAACAAGCCCACACTTTGGGGTGCCCTGTCCCACTTTGTGCACTTGGCTCCCAGTGCCGTTTATTCCCCCATCTCCCTGCTGCCGCTCACTGCCTCCTCATCCTCATGGTGGATGAGGATGCTCACCCTAGTGCTCAG